TTAATGGCTGAATAGTAGTCCATGGTATGCATATACCACAGCTTGCCAGTCCATTCCTGGGTTGAGGGGCATTTAGGCTGTTTCCACATTTTAGCGATTGTAAATTGAGCTGCGATAAACAGTCTAGTACAAGTGTCTTTATAATAAAAGGTTTTTTTTTTCTTTTGGATAGATGCCAAGTAATGGGATTGCAGGACCAAATGGGAGGTCTAGGTTGAGTTCTTTGAGGTTTCTCCATACTTCTTTCCAAAAAGGTTGTATTAGTTTGCAGTCCCACCAGCAGTGTAAAAGTGTTCCTTTCTCTCCACATCTGTGCCAGCATCTGCAGTTTTGAGATTTTGTGATATGGGCTATTCTTGCTGGGGTTCGATGATATCTCAGGGTGGTTTTCATTTGCATTTCTCTAATAATTAGGGATAATGAGCATTTTTTCATGTGTTTGCTAGCCATTCGTCTGTCTTCTTTAGAGAAGGTTCTGTTCATCTCTTTCCCATTGATGTATGGGATTGTTGGGTTTTTTCTTGTGGATTAATTTAGGTTCTGTATGGATCCTGGTTATTAAGCTTTTGTCTGATTCAAAATATGCAAATATCCTTTCCCATTGGGTAGGTTGTCTTTTTGCTTTGGTTGTTGTCTCCTTGGCTGTACAAAAGCTTTTCAGTTAATTAAATCCCATTTGTTTATTATTGCTGCTGTTGCTATTGCCATGACAGTCTTCTTCAGAAAGTCTTTCCCTAGGCTGGTATCTTCCAGTGTTTTTCCTATTCTTTCTTTGAGGATTTTTATTGTTTCTTGCCTTAAATTTAAGTCCTTTATCCGTCTTGACTCAATTTTTCTGAGTGGAGAAAGGTGCGGGTCCAGTTAGTCTTTTACATGTGGGTATCCAATTCTCCTAGCACCATTTATTGAATAGGGAGTCTCCCCCAGTTCTTGTTTGGTTTATTGAATATAATGGTTTCTTTCAGAATGATTATCTGGTCAAGTTATCTAGTCAGTGATTATCTGTGTCAATGGCAATTGACATTCACGGGACAACAATAGAGGAAGAATACAATCAAGAGTTAACACTGCAAGGCCAGGTGTGGTGGCTCATGCCAGATAATCCTAGCACTCTGCGAAACCCAGACAGGTGAAGTGCTTAAGCTCAGGAGTTTAAGACTAGCCTAAGTAAGAGCAAGACCCCTGTCTCTAAAAATGAATAGCCTGGGCTTGGCGCCCATAGCACGGTGGTTATGGTGCTGGCCACATGCACTGAGGCTGGCAGGTTCGAACCCAGCCTGGGCCTGCTAAACAACAATGACGACAACAACAACAAAAATAGCTGAGCATTGTGGTGGGCGCCTGTAGTCCCATCTACTTGGGAGGCTGAGGCAAGAGGATCTCTTAAGTTGAGAATTTGAGGTTGCTGTGAGCTGTGATGCCACAGCAATCTACTGAGGGCGACATAGTGGGACTATCTCAAAAAAAAAAAAAAAAAAAGAATAGCTGGGTATTGTGGCAGATGCCTGTAGTTTCAGTTGGGAGGCTGAGGCAAGTGCATCGCTTAAGCCAGGCGTCCTCAAACTGCGGCCCGCCTAGGACATTTATCCGGCCTGCCAGGTGTTTTTGCTGTTGCTGCCTGTCCTGCTTAGCAGCCGACTCATCCTGGGGCCCACCTTCCGGCCTTCCAACAGTCTGAGGGACAGTGAACAGGACCCCTGTTTAAAAAGTTTGAGGACCCCTGGCTTAAGCCCAAGAGTTTGAGCTTGCTGTGAGCTATAACGCAACAGCACTCTACTGAGGGTGACAAAGTGAGACTTTGTCTCCAGTAAATAAATAAATAAATAAGTTATACTGCCTGGGAGATTTAGGGGAAGATATTAGGAGCTCTTATGAAAATGAAAGCCCTTACTTTTTAAGAGGAAAAAAATGCTAAATTAGAGCAACTGTGAGATACAGAAGTAGTTCATATTATGCTAGCCTGCTACACAGATGATGTTAGGTTTTAATTTGTCAGACCAGCCAGTTTGGGGCAGAATATGGAATCCTTATCTTAAATTAAAATAGTTGAATTTTCTGCTTGATTTGAAATACTACAAAAATAACAACAAAAAACATCTTTTTGCTTGGATGAAATTCTGTGTTTATTATTTAGTAACGTGTGAGTTGGATAAAGGGTCTGCATATAAAATTTTTTATTTTTTTGAGACAGAGTCTCATTTTGTCGCCCTTGGTGGAGTGGCATCATAGCTCACAGCAACCTTTAACTCTTGGGCTCAAGTGATTCTTTTGCCTCAGCCTGCCTAGTAGCTGGGACTAAAGGAGCCCGCCACAATGCCTGGCTATTTTAGAGACGAGGTCTTACTCTGGCTCAGGCTGTTCTTGAACTTGTGAGCTAAGGCAGTCCACCTGCCTCGGATTCCCAGAGTGCTAGGATTACAGGCGTGAGCCACTGTGCCCAGCCCTGGATATCAGATTTTTATCAAATTCATATTTTTTATCTCTTACATTTCCCAACATACCCCTCATTATATGAGTATCCTTGAGCTGACTCCTTGTGCTAGATATCTTAGAATAAAGGTTTTAGAACTGTTGTGGAAAGTGATTAGTTTAACATGTAGCTTTCCTTATGTCGTGATATAAATTAAACTCGTAAACGAAAGCAGTTATGTTTTTCAGATGGGCAGGCATGACTCTAGCTGAGAACAAATTGGTGTGCTGTGATAGAGACATCATTTCAATGTGCATGCATCTGTCAAATGCCTGTGGTGGCATAGTGAGACAAAGTAATCCCTAACGTTTGTCTGGTGTGTCCCTATTGCTAGCCATATTGTAACATACAGTACATTTCTCAGGCAGGCAGCTTGTGGGCTGGGTTCTACCTAGGCTTTGTAAAGATGCCAGGGGCATCAAGGTGACTTTTTAAAAACCTATTTAAATATTTAGATGCATGGCTAATTTCAGTGAAATCTCTAATAAATTACTTGCTAGAAGTGAGGTGAAATGATAGCTCCTCTACGTATTAGTTTTGTCACCTGGATCAACAAATTGGTAACCTCTCTGTGCCTGTTTCCACATTAGGAAGTGAGTATTCTAAAAGTATTTGCCTCATATGGTTGTTGTGGATTTAGCCAGTTAATAATAGAAGAATACATGGCATTTAATAAGTGTTAGCTACTGCCCCTACCACTACCATCATCATCATCAACAACATAATTTGTAGTGAGATTAATTTCCTCTCAAAGTTAGATTGCTTTTTTTTTTTTTTTTTT